ACTAACTGTAATAGTAGTCAGCTGAATACCGTTTACAATGATGTAAATTATGCAAAAAAAATCATCTGAAGGACCGTAACATCAGCTTACTGATAAAATCTAATAAGAATCATGATTTACCGTAAACAGGGTAGAGTTAATATTTTGAGCCGTTAAATCTCACTTTCCTGATCTGACAACCAGTAGACCAGCAGAATCAAATTAATTTAGAAATCCACTGAAAACAAGGAAGCACAGGATAGCTGTTTCGTTCTAGTGTGGAACTTTTCAGAAGTGCGTATCCCGGACTCCATTAATGGAGATCTGAACCAGAATCTCTAGTTTTTCACTCAAACTCTTATTCTGTAGACCACTGAATTCAAAGCCAATTATGTATGTGTCCAACTTCAATCAAATCACATTATTTTACAACACTTACACTGTTTTTGCTAAGTGACTGCTTTACACTCGACACTCTTGAAATCTACTAGTGACAGCTTTTCCTTAGAATTCGAAAACTATCCCCCGAATCTAGTTAACAGTGAGTATAGAATAATAATTAGCATAGAGGCACATGGAGCTTATTGAATGTTATAACACGAACCAATTCATTGCATAGTTCAAGGATTTCTATCAAAAACTTTAATTTTAACATTTGAATTCATGAGTCGATCTAAGCTAGAACACCATTAAAAACCTGGGAGCAGCGGACTGCCGGCTCAGTGTTTAGAGGTTGAGCATTCATACACGAGACCGAAGGTCCTGGTTTCGAGTCCTATGTGCGGGATCGTGGATTCACAGTGCTGAGGAGTCTCGTACTAGAACGAAACATCCATCCAATGCTTTGAGTTTTCCAATGTTAGTCTAACGTTAATCAGTTCATGAACTCAATTAAAACACTATCATAAGACTGTGATACCTTAAACATCATCTACAAGTATGTTGGATATTTGTAAACCTGTTATACAAAATCTTTGTTGGGTGAATAGTAATAACAACACTTTTCTTTAGTCTAAACAAGTTCTTTATTATGAATGATTTAAAATTAGTAATTTTCAATTGTTAAAAAAAAACCGGTCAAGAAGTTATTGCAGTTAAAATCTAACAACACTATATAGTCATAATACAATCTTAACTAGAAGCTTCTGAATACTTGGATTGATCATAAAACTTAGTGTACAGACCAAAACAATTTTTAATTACTTGTTCAATAATAAAGTTTGTATTTCAATAACAATGTTACCTATTGAAAGTAGACAATTATAAAGTTAGCAGAACTTAAAAATTAGATCAGTTATATGATGCTTAGAACAAAACTGTTAGTTGATATGTCTTGCAACCAGATTAAAAAACAAATAGTCATGGAATGTGCTACACACCATAATATGACTTGTATAAACATGAATTGTTTATATTCATTAACATTTTCACTGAAACATATAAAATGGTCAATAATTACAGGTCACGTAATTTGGATACAATCACTAACTGTATTGCATCAAAAACCAAATATAATTTTATATTATCACTTATAATTAAATTGATCGACATACAAATAGAGAAAATCATTCAATATCAAGTATCATTACTGTCTTATTGAGGTTTAAGACTCTTCAATAGTGCCTCATCATTAGACTACATTTGATCAAATCCATGACCTACAGATTTTAAGAGGAGAGGAAATCATAATCTTAGACCACTGAATCATAATCCAACATTATTCACTTTGAATTCCGATCTGTATATGATACAGAACAATTTTTATCATATATTGTCATTGTGTACATAGCTCACATCTTAATTAGTTAACTTCATCAATTAGAACATGGTAAAAGTTAGATAACCTTTGGTCACGTTTTATTCATACTTTTACTCATTTTAAATTGTTGAAATGATTTGGAGAATTTGGTACGATTCAACTAGAAACTACTATTATTCTAAAAAAAATTTGTCATCTAATTATTGATGTTACTGTTACGTGACAAAAACAAGAAGCCATGACCAGTGGAGCTAATCCGTGTCGGGTAGAGACAGGTATCTACCTCAGTACAATGGAAGACGGTCGCACAATTTCATGGATTGGTTAGTGTTAGACACTAACACCATTGCATGCCGGCTCAGTGGTCCAGTAGGTTAAGCGTTCACACGCGAGACTGAAGGCACTGGGTTCAAATCCCGCTAGCGGGATAGTGGACGCGCACTACTGAGGAGTCCCACAATAGGACGAAACGGCCTTCCAGTGCTTCTAGGTTTTCAATAGTGGTCTAACATCAATCGGTTCATGATCTCAATCAAAACTTAATAATCTCCACAACCCCCTATACTGAAAAAAACGAACCCAGAAAATACAACTGATGACAAAAATATGTCTTGTCATTCTAATCCTATGATTGTTTGATTATTTTTTTAATTAATCACTTTCAAAATATAGACAAATTACGTTTTTTTTCAAAAGATTGCCATTTTTTTCAATTTTCAATCTGATCTGACATTAAGAAATGTGAAGTTGTATTCGAGAAAGAATAATTAGAATCAAAATGAACACATGAAAATGAGTAAACCATAATTACAGAAGCATGACTTTTAAATCAATCAACAAACAACTATATATGTTTGTTTGTTTGTTTTTTGGCAAGTATCAAGTCTGTTAGACGAAACCGAAAAACTTTTCTCTTTGTTGTTGTCGTTTTTGTTGCTCTTGCTGTCAAAATAATCAATGTAATATGTTACACACAAAAATAAAGAAAATCATTCTGATTACCTCGTTTTTTACTTAATCACAATTCTACTGTGTATTTTTTGTATTAAAACAAAAAAAATTTGTCATGAAAACCGAGAACTATAATTGAATTATGTAATTATAAAGTGTATAACATTTTATCGTTTGACTTAAGCTACCTTATTGATGTTTACCTGTATTATACATGTTGAATCGACTGTCAACTAAAATGTATTTACTAATTTCTACTTATACTGGCATTTAAGTAGTGGAGTCTTTTTTTTTGTTGTTGTTGTTGCTAAATCATGTGAAAAATCATTATGTTTAAAATATGTTTTAGGTAATTCTTTTTTTAAAATGAAATTTACGTACTTAATATTTATGAAACTGAATAAACATGTGCAATAAAAACATATAACATATAGTTATAGTAATTTTTATAGTTGAATTCATGAATCGATGGAAACTAGACTACCATGGAAAAGCTGGAAACACTGAACGATGGTTTCGACTGGTTTCAAGAGGAATTTCCTTGAGTTTTAGTAAGAAGCAGTGACGAGTGGAGTTCAACCAGGTGTGTTGTGAGATAGTAACTCAATGGATTAGTTGAAGTTAGATATTAACACTGTTAGTTGCCAGCTCTGTAGTCTAGAAGTTGAGCGTTGGCGCGCGAGAATGATAGGTCCTGGGTTTGAATTCTGCGAGGAGGGATTGTGGATGTACACTGATGAGGGGTCCTATATTAAGACGAAACGGCCATTCAGTGCTTCCAGGTTTTCCATGGTGGTCTAGCTTCAATCGGCTCATGAATTCAACTATAAAAACACATAATTTGTAAGTCATTAACTATCCAATTGAAATGGATATGTTTGTTTTAGAATACTATCAATTAATCTAGTAATATGATAGATTATACACATACTAATAAGAAGGAAAATACTACATGGGTCTATTGTAAACTGACTATATTCCTTTAAAATATTTTATGAATTTCAATAAGAATAATCTTATCTTTATCTTTGAATTTTATCCCAACATTTCAGCTGTTATTACGGTTGAATTTTGTCAATTTCAATAAAAACATCTTGTAGAAAGATGAAGTTATTTTGGAAGATTTGAGTGTCATAGACGATATTTTGCTTTTTCTTCTAAATTGAACTTCATTAAGCATGACTTTCAGTCTGAATTACTTCATTATGCAAACGATTGGATAGAAATTACTTTCTTTTTACAGGCTGTCTGCTTTCTAGTTTTAAATTAACTTATATTTAAATATTTTAAAATTGAATGGTTTAGTTGAAGGAAAGAAATTTTCTTAAAAAATAGTAGTGATGAAACCAAAAAAATATTCTAACAAGAAGAATTTTCATTAAACTTTTGTTGCATGATCTAGTCAAACTTCATGAGATCATTCAAAGAATTTGTCAATAGCTTTCGTATACCTCATATTCTCAAGGTCTCCTGAAGTTGTGCTAAACACTCACATACATCCTTTTCTTCTAAAACGAGCGGATTCACTTTTCACCTTAGTATAGTCTGAACGGATTTGAAGACAAATTCGTTGCACAGGCTATAGATATGCTACAATACACTTTAAACAAAGTAACGGTTAATTTATGTGTTTCAAATTCATTAAACTTATTTCACTATATTTTCCATATCGGTCAGCTAAAGCGCGTTACTAACAGAACGTTCGATATAATTAAGAGCACAGATGATATTTTAAACCACTTCACGTGTATTTGTACAATACGAATAAGTCATTAGAGATCAAGAGTAACTGTATATATCACTGTTAATACTGTAGAATATATTTATTCAGTCTCTGGTGGCATATATATTCATCCTATGCAGACTGACTCTATACACTTCCAGATCACGGAATGAATCAACTAAACTCAATTCAAATATGATTATGTGGTGATTTTTTGTGAACACAATTGTTCGTTCTTATAGTACGGAAGAACTCATTTCATTTCATCGTATTCCAATATGTTTACTTGAATGGGATTGATCCATTCTTAATTTTGATCGTATGTGTATAACAATTTCTATCATTTTGATAGAATTTTGTTCTCACAAACTTCTACCTGAAGTTTGTGCTAATGATGTTGTTCAGAAGAACGATGAAAGCTCCACGACCAAACTATCCAGCTCAAAGAACAAAATTCTATCAAAATCATCCACCAGAGCTACAAATCTACTCTATCATCTCAGTCCCTATCATAGAACCATTCAATACATGGAACACTATAAATAAATCCTAATGAATTGATCTAATCATTAATAAATAACCACTTACTTCCATTTCATCTAGTTTTAATAATTTTTCATAAACTATTCTATCTGGTACACCAGGTTTTAAATAATCCATAATATTTTCATTCTTTATTAAATACTGCAATACTAATTGTTCATCAGTAATATTCAATAAAGTATCATTTAATTTTGTTGAATTCTTTTTGGCTGATTTCTTCTTCATCATTATCAATTGTGAATTATTCAATATACTTGTAGTTGTTGTTGTCGTTTTTGTTGTTGTTGTTGTGTTCATTGATGATAATGATATAGATTTTGTTGTTGATAGACTTGTTTTAAGCGATATTTCTGTTATTGGAGAATTATCATTAGTAATATTTGTTGTGATTAGGTTTGTTGGTAAACTGTTATTACTTGTATTAATAGTAGGATTGTTCATATTAGGTTCATTTATGATTAATGAAGATATAGATTTATTGTTTTCTATTAAACTCTTGTTTATTACACAACCACGTAGATCTGAACCCTGTAGATAATAGTAATAAATTATAATGTCAAAAATGAGTTCAAATCAATTTCAGAATTTTGGAATACAAAGAAACCTTATAATTCATGTTTATTTACATATGCCTATTCATTACCTGACACAACAGGGGATATGAGCTAATGTGGGTGGAGTTTGCAAGAAAAATATGGTCCGCCAAAATGTCCCAATAATTTAGGATGTCAATCAATGTTAGTCTATACTATGTTGGTAGGCAGTGGTTGGAGATGCTGAGTGATATGTCTTACAATCAGTCACAATGAAACAAATGCATTCATTATTTATATTACTTTAGATAATCTGTTTCAGTATTACTTCATATATACTTTTTCGTTTTTTTCTTTAAAGTATACTCTCAATATCTTGTCTTTTTTATGATCATTCTTATTACAACATACTGTTTTCTCTGCTTCATATCTTTGCAGTTTTATTGGATTGTGTTAATGTTATATGAGAGTTTGAACTAATGTACATTTAAACAAAGATGGATAGTGGCTAGCAGTGGAATCCAGGACGCGCATTTCGTCTTGTTTGGGACTCGTCAGCTGGATATACCTGCATATCAGAGTTGATGTTCACTCTGGGACTCGAACTCAGTACCGTTCGCTTCAAACGCCATCGCGTTATCCACTTAGCTACTGAGTCCTGATAGCCACTTGCTTGTGCAATGAGGTGAAGTTTAATTCATTTGATATTGTTTTACTTGAATCTTCCCATTGATGTTTTAGGACTGAAATTGATCAGTCTCTGCTAGCCACTATCCATCTTTGCTTATAATGCTTGTAAATTAAGGCAATATCGAGGCATACGCACAGTATGCACATATGCCAATAAGAGACTGATCAATTTCAGTTCTAAAACGTCAATGGGAAGATTCAAGTAAAACAATATCAAATGAATAATGTACATTTATGTCATGCTCTATTTTGGTTATGATTAATTAACTGATTTAGTTGATTCATAACCGAAATGAACATGTATTCCCTTTTATTGTTATATCAATAGTCAATACAGATAACGTATAAGTAAACAAATTATCTTATTAATTTCGAATAACTCAGATTACCATCAAATCAAACAGGATCATGTAAACGCATGTTTAAAAAAAGCAGTTTAGAATAAACGAAACGTGTCAGATAACTTAGTTACATTATGACTTGCTTTAATCAAGACGTAACTAATAAAATCTAAGTTTGAATGTATGAAATAATATTTAATTCAGGATTAAGTAATAGATATTGAATGACCACGCCTCAGTAACTCTAATTGTTTTGGACAGTGTTGCTCAACGTCTCCAAGCTGTAAAGGTATTCATAAAGTATCATTAACTTGTGTCTAAGATTTTTGGACATTATTAAAGAAAGAGGATGATGTTTCATTGAAGTCATCCAGTACGGCCCAGCACTTTTGTGCACGTGGTTATGAAACTTATTCACAAAGTATCTAGTTCTTTTTTTTACTGTTAATCAAACATTCCGTTACTTAAGCAACTATATTTTGCTGTAATTTTTAGGGAAGTTTTATTTAATTAATAATTAAAAATGTGTCGTTAAAAGGTCACGAATTTCTTAGTTCAAAATCTGTATACTCAGTTATGTGCATTTCTGTTTGTGAAGTTTAATATTTAATGTCTTTTCACAATTAGCTATAACCCTTGGTTAAAATTTACTTCAAAGTGAATAGTTTGCGTGAATCTACCTTTCTGATTCATATCATTTACTCATTTGTAACTAGCTTGTTATTAGATTGCTGATGTCCGTGACAGAAGCCATGATCGATTTAATTTAGCAGTACTGGTCTACAGACAGATAATGTAAATGGAACAGGATAATTACTGTTCGTTATCACGAATTAGATTTTGTCTAAACAACTGTACAGGAATGTACTTATTGTAAAACTTGAACTTGTTATGTTCAATTTATATTAATCGGAAAGTATACGCTAATGAGAGAGAACTATGGCTAGAAGGATACAGTATTTCAACACTTCCTAGTTTTAAAACATTCTCCAGGCTAATTCACAATAAGGACACTTAACAATTTGTGACTGAGTCAAAACGTTTGTAGCCTACGACAAACATTTTTGCTTATCGATTGTCATTTTGTATTCTGTAATTCACTAGGTATATTTTTCAGAGTTTCTAGTTATTTATGCTGAGGAGTCCCAAAATAGGACGATTTGGCCGTCCAGTGCTTCCAGGTTTTCCATGGTAGTCTAGCTTCAATTGACTCATGGTTTCAACTATTAAAATTACTACATTTTCCACAAAACCCCTTCTAATATTATTCATTAGGTGTCATAACAAAACAAAGGAAATTGTTTACAAACTTGATGTAGTGAAACTTGACATTTTGTTTTATTTCTCATCATTTAGCTAAAAAAAATAAGACACCATAAGTATAACTACACTTCGATTGTCGTTTTGTACTGGACTTAATCATTTATCTACAATCTGTCATTCATTCAGTTTTATTATTACCTTAAGAGAATCAACGAGCGCGCGAGAGAGAGAGGGAGAGGGAGAGGGATGATCATGTTTAATTTGTTTGTACTTGTTATAATTTATAATTCATAAACATTTAATTACTATTTTCACATGTTTCTGTACTCATGAACTGCACAGATGTGACAAACAAATAGAAATAAAAATGTTTGTTACTGAGTTAAAACAATTTTTCATTTTATTTTCAAGATAATCAATAATTACTAATTACATTTTGTGCACAGTGTACTAATTAACTTAAAGAAAGAAAGCGTAAATGAGTCATTTCAAAGAATTATGTTTATTACTTTATGGTTGGTAATAAACAGTCAGATACAAATACATTATCTAATCTATAAATTTATTGATAAGATTGTTTTCAGCATGATAGAACATTGTATTTTATGTAACTTTCAGTTAACTTGTAGTACTGTTTGGATGGCTTCTGAGAATTAAGACGGAGCCTTCAGAAGCAGTAAAGGAGCGGAAGAGTTTCCATTCAATCAGAGTATGATGTAGCTTTTTAGAATATCAACGTGGCATTCTACTATTGGACAGTAGCATGACATGCCTCTTTGCTGATTGGTTGGATTATAATTATAATATCTATAAATACCCATGATTTTCTGAACATTTTGATTCTTACACAACAAGCACTTCTCCAGTTTTCTGTTTTTTAATTTGCGACTGTAGGGGTTCTGTACGTTCAAGTGCCGTAGTTGTATACTGTATTCCGTGTTAATCAGGTAGCGAACTTAACAAGTAGTTGCAATGATTTAATACTATAAGGTGAGATATGAACTCGATAAGTTTATTCGTTCCTCTTAACTAGTACCCGAAGACAACCATTTTATCTACGTAATTCTTTAGATAAGATGTTAAATAAGAGTAAGGTTTCGATGAATCATTACTGAAGTAATACGATGAATTTATACAAAGAATGATAACTGTTTGATTTTCACCCCAACAATAATGCGCTCTTTGTGTAAGTGTGTTTGAATACAATAAAACATCAATATAAGAGCTCAAATGTATCATAGAGTAGTCATAAAATACTCTCTTTATCACCATATCTCGCTTCCTTTACCTAGTAGAAAAACTAAGGAGAATAAAACCAAATCATGAGGACACCATACACAACAGTACATTTACTTGGATTCTATTGAAACTATTGAGTTCGTCACTAACCATCATAAATTTGATGTATTTACGAAAGTTTGAACAACAATTCGTAATTAGTGTCATGATTGTCATGTCCTTCTTAGTGCTGATCGAGTTCTTTCATGAAAGCTGTAATGTTATCACTAATTCAAGTGATTTGAAGCTACGTACACTACGTTGAAACGTAAAGTGGCAGTTGGAGAGAATCGACAGGAAATTCTTAATCTAGGTTCCATGATATATGAAACTCGTCAGAAAGACGTGGCTGTAAACTGAGAAAGTGATACTCTACGTCGAATTCAATTAAGTGCCACTCAGTTTCATAATCAAAATCGTTGCTAATGAATGGCTCCTAGATAGCTCAGCATCAACATCTCTGATTGTGGAGCTGGGTGACACTCGATCGAATTCACCAAGGAGTATCACTTCCTTTGATATTACGGGCACATCTTGCTCACAAGTACCAAATAGCACAAAACCTAAGTTCAATGTGTCCTGTCAATTACCTCCAATTACCAACTAGCATTTGATGTATTCATATATATCCGTAGATGTGATCGGGCGATTATGGATAGTTATGTTAATAAGATATTTTTGCATTAGTTGTTTTCATAAAAATGCTTGAACTCATTTATCAGGCGAGACTTTGGAATTCTCCAAACTTTTTTGAGTATACTTTTATTGTTTAATGACAACAATAAGATAATGATATTTCAAATGAACAGAAAATTGAATTTTTGACCCTTTCATTCATTGCAATAAGACAAACATATCATTATTTTATGATTAAAGATATATCTAATGTTCAATTTATTTAAAATTATTCAGTCAAACCTTGATGATATCACTTATTAATTTAAAGACAAAAGTATGTTGTTTAAATTACTTGACTTAAGGTTAATTTAATACAAAGATCTTCAAATATTTTTAATAGTCAACATCAACATGATGAGTTGATCATAGTGAGTGACTGTAGTTATAAGCTTGAGTTTCAATTAGCTACATTGTTTTTACATATTCATATAAGATGGATTTCATTTTGGTCAATAACACTTGATAGCAACATCTACAAAGCTGGATTGACTTCGTTGAAATAATTGTTATTAACTTTCTATATCGTTTTTAAATAAAATCCACTTGTGTCTGATGATTTAAATGATCAGTGCATCTTTATTTTGACAATAAATATGAAATTAGGTAGTCTGAGACAATATATAGTATTTATTCCTAACTCGATTAAATAAAGTCAGCCATTCATGAGACAGACTATATAGATTAATCGGTATCAATCTCAACAGAGTAGGAATAGTTAAACTTCTCAGAAGACGATGAGACTATAATTTATGGACAGCTTTTGAGTGACGCTAAAGTGACCTTGAGAATGTCCATTTACTAATTAGGGCTTAATGAGGGCTATATATAGTAGTGTGAGGAATTAAGCTTAGGATTCGCAGCTGATGGTTAAGGTTCAAAACTAGATTCAGAATTTTTATCTCAAACTGACAGCAGTTAATTAGTCAAAATGCTATTTAGCCGAGCGGATGAATGTATTTTACCCCCAAATAGAAGACCTGTTCTTCTCGACCAAAATCTATAGTCCAGCCCAGAAGACTAGTGTCGCCATTTTATTCAACATTAACCACGGGGTTGTGAGAAATTTATTGGACATAAATGTAGATTACCAGTATTTGGTCATTTTACATTCAGAAATGTTACTTGATATGCAAGTGAGGTTGTAATGAATTAAAGTGCAGCCAGTAGATACTGCAAATTTCAAAAGCAATACGCACTTTTTAGACTTATATATAATTAGCGTTACTGACACATAAAATTGGTTTTGAAACAAAAATAAAATATGGGCTAACAAAAAACATGTTTAATCTTTTACAGCACATTCTATTTAACTTTCCATAGCTTACTTGTTCACGTCGAACTATTACCAACCACGCTGGTAAATAGCTCAAGTTTGCTCCACGATTTTTAGTTTCAGTCTGCTTTTCAAAAGTTGGTCGATTCTTATCGCAACTGCTCTCTTTACAGGAAATATTAGCGGCATTTGAGTTCAGTTGCTTATCTTCTGATAGTGATGTACTGTAATTTGATTTGAAATATACTGATGTTTTCGCTAGACTTATGGCTACTGCTCCATCATTAGGAATAATACCAAACCAATTTTGATGTTGATCGCCTAAGGATTATAAACGATGAATGTAAATCAAAACAGTATATATTTCACTAATTTAATAAGTTGGTCTGTTATCAGTTCAGTTATGTATAAAGAAGTGTAGATTCGTTTATAAATGTTCTATTTTGAAATTTTCTGATATGGCAGAAATACTTCTTAGTATCATTACCGAATTAATCACAAATAAAACTATTACTAAGTGTATTTGAGGTACAACTAATTATCGAGACGCTATGAACAAAATGTTTGCGAAAATCTACCTAACTTACTATTCGTTCTTCTACTCTTCTTACTGTTCGATTTCAGGAAACAAAGTAATTATACAGCAGTGTCCAAGTTCAAATCAGTATATGTTAAATTGTTATCCGAACCAAAAGTTTTGATTACTCTATTCATTAGCAAATGGTTTAGATAGTCTATGAGATACTATAAAAATGGGTATTTTCTACTTTAAACACATCATTAAAACATATCCTGAAACTTTAATAACTTTTAAGATTTAAATCTGCAGTTTTTAGTGCGAGAATTACAAATACCAACCACTAGCTACTTGACATTCCAACGTGAATAATGAAAGTCACAGCCGGAGACACAAACGACCTAAGACACTTATTCCCCAAAGTGGGAACATTCAGCAGTCCCAACTAGAGCAAGCCCGAATCTGAGTCTGACCAACGATCCGAAACACCCTAGTGATAGCAAACTACACTTTACCATGGATTTATTCATTCTCTATCAGTCATTGTATAAGTATGTCCATTGTTCTTTCTAACTCTTTAGTTATATTAAGCACTTGTCATGACTTACTCATTTGGTCTCTGATGGAAAGATATTTTTTTATCACAATGTTTTGTAGCAACGTTTTGCAAATAAAAATTACATCATGACTGTTTATAAATTATTTTTAAGATGACCAATTTTTCGCATCAAAATGTTAAAGTGATTTTTTAAATTTCAAATATGAATAGAGGCAGGAATTACAACAAATACAATGCAATAACGACGATTATGTGCAGGTTGGTAAACGACTCTTAAAGATAAAACATGGAAATGTAAGTAATAAGATATAGCCATTGGGTATAACGTCTTAGAATCTTAAAAACCAGTATGTCCACTGCTTTGAATTCCCTGATTCAATGGTATGGATTAAATGGTTTGTCTGATAGAAAACAAATTTCCTATTTTTGAAATTTCCAAACATTAGTATACAGTGGAATGAGGAGTAATATTTTCCTTAATTGTATGGATACACAGTATTCAGGTATAAGGTTAATGAGATGGTTGACCTGAGCGGGTCCTTGAACAGGATACATTTCAGAAGATTTATTTTTATTATAGAACGAGTAACAGACGTTCACATTCTATGATGTGTATAAACTGATATTTTTGAAATTTTTGGCTCCGCAGATTTAGTTTGCATTGAAGCCACATAAGAATACCGAGTTGTTCTAATTATCCTTCATTTTGACAAGAATTATAGAACTAAAGCTTTTACTTAATAGATGAAGGATAAAATTTTAAAAACAATTGAGTGATCTCTTTTTATTCTGTTAGGTTCTTGTTAGCTGCTTATAATATACGATAAAAACTTTTAGTCATAAAAAAATTACATAAATTTCAATTTCACCATGGTGGTGCATACACCTAATCAAAATTCCTTGCACGTTAACTTTAAGATGAATCTGACTAAAAAACACTACGGATTTTAAGTAGCCGATGAGAACTTAACGAGGAAGAAAATGTTATTTTATTTTGTTCATATCTTTGATTTGCCTACTTTCACTATAACTAAAAAAGCTATAAGCACAAACTTGGTCTTGTATATTTGTGATCAGGTATTTGCAAGGAATGGGAATCATGAAATGGAATATTTAAACACATATATCGTTAACATAATTACTGCATCGAATTTACACACCATAGGCATTATGTAGTAATTATTCTTACGAATATTCTGTTTATTTATAGCAAGACGTGCTAATTCACTTTCCGCAACATAAAGCTACACGACTTTAAGTAGAAAATAATAATTAAAACTCACCACAACTAAAAATCGAATTTCTGTAGAAACATGCACCTGAATCTCTGTATTCAAAGTCATAATAATCCATATGTTCTGCTCCTACTTGGCTAGAACACAGTTTTGAAAAGTTCACTGTATATCTGTGAGCCGGAGATGGATAGTTATTACTATTTTCCTTTCCTTCAACAATAAATTTGTTCGATTCTGCAACCAAATTGTAAATATTCTTTTTGCTTCCCTTTGGCTTCTGATTAGGAGAATCAGTACTGATTTCAGCTGAAGTGGGTTTCCTATGACTTGATAGGAGACTGTGACCCATGCTGCGTGAATCATAGTGCAAAGTGACGAACATTTCAGAGCTTGATGGAAGATCCTCTCTCACATATTTTCTAAACGTATCTGTTGTCAATCGAAAATGAGCGTCATCTGAATTAAATAAAAGATTTAAATTCGTAAGAACACTTTTTCTTCCACTGGAAGACATACTGAAAATAACCTATATGTTGTAAGTAGTAAAATCCCGTTGAGTCTCGGTAAGCATATTATTTGAACAACCAAAAAGACGTTTGATTTCTCTGGTAAAGAATCATATTTTACGGTGAAAAAGACGTAAAATTCGAACTTGAAACGTTCTGATACTGTGAAATACTTGATTTTTAGCAATTACGTGTTCATTGGGAACATATCGAGATTTGACGCCAAATATTGGAATAACGACGAATTATGATCCGAACACGTTTCAAACCTTAGCAATAGGAGACAAGTCACTTTTCAAAAACATTTTTCAATTCCGTTATTTAAGAGTTGATTATTCAAAAGAATTCGGAAGACTTCTTAATATTCCACACACATTAACGCATTTCCAAAAATTGATGTTTTGAAAATGCAACTTGGGTTAACATTTGACCTAACTAGAGCAAAAAAACAATAGGTTATTCAAACAAACGACGTCTAGTATAATGAACAGTATACAGCAATAAATTTCAACCACTTAAGTGGATTTGCAATCATTGATTTTGCATTAATTTTAATACCTTTTTATTTTTTTCATTTCTGGAAATTTAAAATAAGAAAGCATGCACTAAATACGTACCTTGTTCAAATAGTTCAAATGGTTGTGGATGGAATAGAAGAAGCTTTTGCTTAACAGGCTTCCGTGTCTAGTACCAGCGGGTCACCAATACCTCTAGGCAGGAACCTAGGTATATAAAAGAAAATAGATTTTTAAATAAAGGAAATTGGTAACTCATAATAAGATGCTATACTTAGTCCTTTAGAATAGGTCAACTTGCCTCTTAAAGGACTCCTGGGAAGTCGCTTGGACCAGTTCAGTCAGCAGCGAATTCTAGCATTTGACAACTCTTGAGGAGTGCGAGTTGGGTCTTCAGTCCTTCAGCCATGTTGTATCTCCAATTTCTGGGTGTTACCCCTTAGGTTTGTGTTGGAACTAAGCTTAAGTAGGTGTTCAAGGGGATGTTCAGAAGTGCTAACGATACTGTAAGCCATCAAAAGGTCACCTTTAAGACCCTTATACTCTAGTGGGTAAACGTTAAGTGACTAGGAGCGCTCTTCATAAGGTTTGAATTTGAGTCCCTGAACTGATTTCGTGGCTCGCCGATGGATACGCTCCAGAGTGTTCTTATCCTTTTGGAGTGAGGGATGAAGTACTATGTTTCTATACTCTAAATGCAGACGAGTAAAACTGTTGAAGATTATGTGGAAAGTTCTTCCATCAGACTGACCAAAAATGCGCGTCAATGTTACCAGTGCAAGGTTTGCTCGAAAGGTATTTGTGTCACAGTTAGCGTACGACTTCAAATCGTAGGGCACCAGGACTCTCAAATCTTTTTCGACTCGCGATACTACTAGAAAGGAGTTTCTCAAGTTGTAACTGTAGTCTGCGACATGTCGCAGATGGACTACTTTATATTTTGAAGCGTCGAAGGTAAGTCCGTTATCGTCTGCCCAACTTTGAAGTCGAGTCAGGTCCTCCTGAAGTGCCCGTATATCCTCTTGGTTGCGTATTTCTCTCCAAAGTTTCACGTTATCAACAAAAAGCAATGAGTCTGACGACACCTGTTGTGGAAGATCATTTATATAAATCAAGAAGAGGAGAGGTTCTAGTACTTAGCCCTGGTGGACCCCACTAGAACACTCGATAGCCTGAAATAGAGTGAAGTTTATACTGACCTCAAAATGTCGAGTTATCAGATATGAATTGAGCTAGTCAATTAGAAATGGTCTGATACTCAATCGTTTGAGCTTATTGATAGGAAATATATGGTTAACCCTATCAAAAGCTTTTGAGAAATCATGGTAAATGATATCAACCTTTCCCTTGCTATTAATGATGCTTGTCCATCTGTCCAATGCAGTCAGCAGGTTGGTTATACAAGAGTAACCCTTTCAGAAACAATGATGTTGGTGTGAGAAGAAATTTAAAGACAGTGAATAGTCATATATACCATCGCATATCATGGACGCCATGATTTTTGAAGGTATAGAGAGAAGAGCCACTGGTCGGTAACTTGAAGGTTCTCTGCGTCAACCTCCTTTGAAAATTGCTGTGATGTGAACTAGCTTCCAATTTTCCGGTAGTTTGCCTCGGCTTAGAGAGTGTGGAGGCATCACTCTAAGCCGTGTCTCCAGGACTGAAGCTGCTCACCTCAGCACAGTAGAATGAACTATATCTGATCCATGAAAAGTGTCTTTTCTTAGGTGCTGCAATTTCCGGTACAACACGTCAGATCCCAGGTTCACTATGGAAAGTCCAGTGGAATTGAAGATGACGCTTCCATCAATATATTTAGTGTGGGTCGGTTGAAATGCCCGAGAGTATTTTTAGACAGAAGGTTAGCGGTGTCGCCCTCGTCGTTGGTCGGACCGTTGAGACCTAGCAGTTGTGAAACTTCAGTTTTGGTTTGACGAAGAGAGTCTGCATAACAGAATAAGCTTTTCGGATTGGAGACAAATTTATCAATAAGCTTTATCTGGTACTGAATCCTGTTTTCTCTCATAGCCTTCGTGCATATGTTCCTAATATGTTTGTATTGCCTGTACGGGACATTGTTGTCAGTTCGTCTGTGTTCTGCCCAACATCGCCTTTTGCGGCTTAGCAAACAAAGAGCATCGTGAGTGATGATTGTAGGTTGCTTGTAGAGTTTGGGGTCCACTTGAAAAGCAGACTTTTTTGTAGCACATAAGAACGTGTGCAGTAAGAAATCCCAATAAGCATCCACACCAAGTTGAGGGTGAATTTCTCAATACACCTGTCCTGTGAAGCTGACAAATTCAACCTTTTGTTATTCTAGCGCCTATTGTTGGTAGGATGTATTAGCTCAGTTTTGCTGATAAAACTGAAGGAGTTCTTCATCTGTAAGTACTCAGTCTAGGCGCGATGGCGTCGGACTGTTTCTACAGCGAGTTACCGACTTCACATTTTCGAATAATCCCAGATACTCAGTGACGTTGAAGAACCTCACATCAGTAGTTTTCACCTCTACTATACGTATGTTCCGTGAAACTGACATTAGGGAGATTGAAATGTAATGTAAATCATTTTACATCAGAATTCAGCATCTGAGAAAATGCGTGAATCTCATACAAAATGTTTGGTCGCAGTGAATACATAAAATAGGCATGTTGTTGTATTCGATAAACAACCTGGAGGTTTAAAAACATAACACAACTGTCTATACTTTGCAAATGAGGCTAGAGTTTGCTGAAGTTAACACAAGCTCCGTATTGTTTAGAAATGTTCTATAAAATATTATGACTCTAGTTAACCCTCAATTACCACTAACAGCAACTCGCATCAATGTTTATAAGCTCTTTAAAACTGGAAGGCAGTCAGAATCATACAATTTAAGGGATTAAAGACTTTACTAATAAACTCCCAATTCCATCTAGTAAAGTGGCTTCATATTAGGAAATGCGTACTCGCAAGATGGAATATAAATCATTGCTCGCGTATATCGTAGTCTCTCTGATCGTCTTGAAATACGGTTTACGGAAGCAGAAATAAATGAACATACTTAAAACCGATAACGAATAACTGATCTTCAAGTGCTTTTATATGTTTAAGGCCTGAAGACAAAAATTATTGAAGTCACTGTATGTCGGTTTTATTTGCTCATACATGATTCAAAATATATTGGTGAAACCCACAGTCATAATTCACACAGAAAATCCAGATGTAATTCCCGTCTCACATAGCTGGTGAAAGAAAACTTATGGTAACAGATCACTGGATTTTGGACAGATTAGGCCAAATAGAGGGAGTAATCTTATTTATTTTTGTGTCGGGTAACTTATCAAACGCTTATTTAAAAAGTGGCTAACGATTAAGGATTCGGTGATCTTTCTCTATGTAGGCAGAAATTTAGAGGCCGAAATGTCGCATTATTTGTAGTGTACCGTAGATATGAATATGCAGCAGATAAGTTCTGTTTAATAAATTTTGGTCCTATGAAAACACGTAATGAGGTCAGTATCAATGTTGGAGACTTATAGAACTATTTAGTTTGGGGATTTATTCACCGCTACACGTTAAATGTCGTATTAATTTGTCATCCGATGAGATTTTCATACAGAATTCCTTTAATTTCCCAAGAGTTTTCCTGAAGTATACTGAATGAATAGAGTTCTAACAGCATTACCCTAGCTTATCAAAGTTTAACAGAGTTATTCTGGAGGAATCTGTGGTGTTGGAATGAACTAATGATTCCTTTTTACTTGTTGAATGCTTGAATTCGAATTCTAAAAACAGTACATTTGTTTGTGCTTATCTAGTACTTCTTGATCCGATTACGTTATTTCTGTGATTCTTAGTTCATACTATAATTAAAATACTCCTAATCATCATAAGATCTCAACAAATAGGCTGGATAAAATTAAACGGATATTGACTACTTTCTAAATACTTGTTAGATTGACCTCTGAAAAGCGAATCGCCAAGTTATGTGCGTATATACTACAGGTAATTCCAGCGGCACATGATCAAATAAATACTTAGAGATATACTGCTTTCTTGATTTGAAATTCGTGAACAGCATGCTTCATTCACTTTCCGGATGATTGCTCGTTCATACACTTAGCTAAGGCGTTTATTCAGAAATGTTTGAACAAAGTGATGAAAAGTCGGCTTACAGTGAACCCAACAATGATTAAGTATTAAACACGGCAATTTAGTTAAATTATAAAAACTGTCACAGCTACAATTTTTCTGGAACGTTTAGGCATTTAGACAGTTATTCAAACTTGAGGAAGTTTGTAACTTAGGAAGAGATATTGAAGTCCTTTAATAAGTAGTAGCAATGGGTTCGCAGTTATCTATTTAAAAGTCAAATAAAAGCCTACCTTAAGAGCAATTTGGCGTTGATGAACAACCACTAAATTTAATCACACCAAAGACGAGATAGAAAATAATTCACCGGTAATTAATTGGTAATATATGATGCGTAGCGAGTGCTGCGAAAAAAGTGCTGACCATACTTTCTGTTAAGTAGATTACGTTTTTTTAAAACCTTGGTCCCTTTTCAGTAACATTAAGTTTTTACATTTGTATTAAGGTGCAAAACGCATCGTTTTCACGCGACGGTGCTTCTTGCTAGAACGAATCTCAACATGTTTGATTTTTTAAACAGTTGATATGTTTTGACATTCCAGTCAAACTTACTATAATGTTTTGAATTATTTGAATTATAGCACGAACTAAGAGTTCCAGAATTAACGCAATTGAATTAAGAAGTAAGACACAAGCACAAGCGAATGTATTGTATTTGGAATTCGAAATCGAGCATTCAACAAGTACAAAGGTATTATTAGTTCGTTCAAACACCACATCCGCCACAGCTTAAATAAAAGTATAAGTGTTTGTAATCGGTTGTACGTCTTCTTGTTAAGTTCATCCTGAGTCTGCCCGACATTGTATAAGATAAAAACTTTGTAGTATCTAGAAAGTGCTCATTAGTATTGGAATTAACAAACGAAATCGGAACAGACTCACCTGGAATTGTATACAATCAGCATATCGGTTTTGTACTGAAATCATTAATATCTAGAATTCGAACCATAGATTTTTCGACACTATCCTCCCCCACGAAATAATGTTAGATCTTTATATCCCCAAGTTGTGAATAATGTGACTTCATTTAAAACATATTTCTCACATTGTTTAGAGTAAACATTAGAACTGTTTTTGTGATAAGGGTAAACAGCAGTTGATATGAAATCATCCGAAATGTAATCAAACTCGAGGTCACTTAGTGCTCGTGTTTCGCATTGAGCAGGTTTTTCACAAGGATCAAATGCATTATGAGGAGAGGTAATATATGATATGACATCAGGATTTGATTCTTCTGAAATATTCTCATGAAATCCATTAGGACTGTCATTGCAGAGCGTAGGATCGTTAGAAAAATCAGCATCTATCCAAACCACATCAGGTTTTCCATCATGATTAGGTTCATTTAACATATTTTCCTCAGAATTGCAAGTAATTTCATTAGAAATATGTGAATCATTACGAAAAGTCATACCTGGTACAATAGCATGAGAATTCTGATAAATCGGTTGATTAGGAACTGTTGTCTCACAAGAATTCTGGATTTCATTTAACTCTGAACTGCCATATCACTCTGCACTGTCTTTTGAAATCGTTAATAAAGATAAATGATCATCATGAATACTCGACTCAGTAGAATCAGAATTACAAGACTTAATATTAGTTGCAGTAAGATGAACATTAGCATTACAAACTGACTGAACTTGTCCAATATCACAACATTTGAAGCACTTAGAATTACGAAATTTACATGAATTAGAAGAGTGGAACTTGCAACAGGACAAACACTGACCACACTTGTCCCCATCCTCGTGAACTGCATCCAAACTCAATGAATTGTCTGCATAACCTTGAGTATGCACTGGGTCAGGATGACGTAGTGATGTAGTGGTGTTTTTTATATCCTCATGAATCATTTTACGAGATCTTCCTCCTTTACCGCATTCGAAATTTGTATAATTAACATAGTCTAGCAGTAGTTCCTTGAGAGTTGTATAAGGAAGCGAGATAGGCTTTTCCGGCATAGTCAGAATTCTTAATAAGCTGCATGTTTCATTTCCAATGAATGTGAGGAAGTGTGCCGCAATATTAACATCCTCATCATCTTCCTTGGTCATAACCCAGATTTCGAACCTTTCAAAGTAATCCTCAAAAGCTTCAGAAGTTGAATGAATATCTAACTTTTCCATTGCAGGCTCCATCGCGACGCCAATATAATGTTTTGAACTAAGAGTCTCAGAATTAACGCAATTGAATTAAGAAGTAAGACACAAGCACAAGCGAATGTATTATATTTGGAATTCGAAATTGAGCATTCAACAAGTACAAAAGTATTATTAGTTCGTTCAAACACCACACTTACCACTTATATTAACATTAAGATGTATAAGAGAAAACCTCTTACGTCATCTTAATGGAGTCTGCATTTAGCATAAAAATTCAAGATTCTGAGTTATGTTTCAGCACTAAGTATTACTTGATGAACAGTTAGATGCGAAGTCATATAAGAAATGCATCAAAAATATGTATTTAAAGAAGTTGCTGTATTGCAGAAGTAAAACCTGAAATATATCTAAGGACTCTCAGGTGTCTCACTGTTACTCCAGACGCTACACCTGGCGTTGCAGACACTAATCTCGACTATCATAAACGCTATCCTCAAAAGACATACAAACTTTACCTAAACATGGTTTTTGATTGAATAGTACATTTCAATTATTCCGGGACAGGATTTGGGTGATATATGTATGAACGACTGAAATACGTCGAGATCCTACATACTAGCCAGGATGTATAACTGTGTATTTCTAGATACCTAACTACGTCAAGACTGACTATACTGGAAGCATACACTGAATATCAAGTGAACCACTTATATATATATATATATATATATATATATATATATATATATATATATATATATATATATATATATCAGCCGGTTCCTTGTTATGACAGATTAGCCAAAAATCTAAACAGAGAGCATGTACTACACCTTCCTTCTACAATTCACGATTTAGTTAATCAGAAATATAGAAATTACTGACACCTGTATTTATTTTGAAGTCAAAGAAGGCAGTAATTCATTACTTCAAGAGATTCTAAAGTGATAGCCGGGTCCTTTTCTATCTCTAGTATAGTCAATAGAACAATAAATGAATTTATATGAAAAATAAAATTCTTGAGGCTTTCTAAAGCTCAAAGGAATACAAGATTCAATAAGACAGTTTATTGAGACAGTGTGACTACCATCCACTTTCAGACATTGTAAAGCTGTACGAAAACGTAAATATTTTACAGGTGCGTTACCCAAATAATCCATACTGTTGTATTGCCTGTTATGATGAGAGAATAGTGCATCATTGAGGCCAGTGTAATACAACTGAGGAACTGATAAGAGCTCATAAGGCCAATATTTTGAACGGCCTTAGCAATGAATGGCATGCTATTTCACTTTCGATCTATTGGTTGTCAAAAAAGTCTCGGTAGCTATATTTAGTGACACGTACTTGTGATAACACAACTTATTCAATATAATACAGTGAAAAATATTGCCGTCATGCTTCTTACTTCAACAGAGACCTTCAAGCTTTTGTAATGTGGATGGCCAGTGAAGATGATCTATGTCGAATGATTGAGAGCCTACTCGAGTTAGACGGGAATAGTGTATCCAACAGCAAACTTCGAAGTCATACTTCATGGTCAGCACCTAACGTGGATTACTTCTTCGTCGTATCAAGATACTAGAGCTGCTTTGAGGACCATATAACTCAAAAGATATTACATAAATATATTAGTTAGAGTAGGTACAAGCGAAAGCCCGACCACCACCACATTGGTTAGTCCGAGTCGTGAGATTAACTGATGCATGTTGGTTGACCTCGACTTTGACATAGACCGACGAATTGTTCGACATCCAGTCACTCGACTGCCGGATGATTTGGCTATGGCTGTGACATTTCACAAACTTTGGAGTTTTAAATATATTAATAAATCACTGAGTGAAAATCGGTATCATGTCGTAGTCTTTATGTTAGACGGATTCGATTGATCAGGCCGCAATGTTACAAAGTTGCCATACACTTTGCTTAATGTTTTATTCAATCCCTATTGCAGATTATTAGCAATATTTATCGACTTCCTTGAGTCAAAACGAATGAACATAAAGATTAGCAGTAAAATGTGACGGGAGAAAAAGTGATACGCCTTTAGATTTTGAGGATAAGACCTTAATAATTCGCTCGTCAAAGTCCAGTTCTTTGTAGAAAAATTAGAAATTCAGAATACGTCATGCTTCATGTAATAAGGCAACCACTAAAAGACTTAAACAGACAATATGCAACAAGCTCACAACATTAGTAGGATCCTTTGCATACATGAAATGACCTATATGACAAAATATTCTCATTTAGAGAAATACCCTTCATTTTTAACACCATTTAGACATGCACTTAACAAAAGAGGTTGAAGTCATGGACTAATCATGAGTCTGCATCCTCAATATAATATTTTGATAAACTTTAATGTACTAGGGAGTCATTCGTAATAAAGTATATTCCGAATATTCACTTTATTTTTGATTAGTTTGGTGTTTTATGACATAAATGTTGTATCACTATTCGGTAGTGTGTTTATTATCACCCAGCTTAAGATGTACTAACTAAATGTTTCTAGTTTGCAATATATGGAATATGTAGTGTTGGTTTGAATATTACCACAGCTAATACTAATCAACAAGTGAAATACACAGCCAGATAGACACACTATTCTGTTTACTCATGAAATTAATCACTATGATAAACAGAAAGACTATTACCGCTATATTTCAGTTTAAATCATAAGAAAAGAGACATTGTACTAATCGATAACTGAGTGGCATTGAATATCTTCTTCTCAAGTATTTGGTGATAATTTTGTCAGTAAATTCCATAGCATCCATCTTATAAAATGTTATAACATTGTGGTAAACTGAATTTTAATGTTAAATAAGTCAGAGACGATCGTTAGTTACATTACCATTCAGATAGAATATTTAACTGATGAACCGAAATATAACTGAATATATTCATACATTCACAGGGAAATAAACACGTTACTAACAATTAAAGACTAAGAAATGAACGAAATTGAAAAAAAAAGATTAAAAAAGGAAACACAGAAATAATAAGACAATATTCACAAACATAATGAAGTCAAGTCAAACTTATATTATCGAAAAATATGAAAATGATTACTGATTAAAATAAATAAACAAGTAGTATATGATTGACAAGTGTTTCCCATTCATTTAAACCAAATGGTTACATAATACTAACAACAGAATGAAAAATAAATCGATGAAACAAGAAAACAAACAAACAAGCAAAACATACACACACTTACACAACATAAATGCAAACATAAAGTGAATAGTAATATTTGATAAAATAATAATCATATAATATACAAAACAATACAATAGAAGAAATATAATAAACAATTAAAACAAGATAAATAAATGCAGTAAAACAATATCGAATTGAACACATTGAATATATATATATATACCATTGAAAAATGAAAGATCATCAAAACTTGAATGAAATTTAGTTTATTCATCATTACTGTTTATTAATTGATAAATGGTGATTGTAAGAAAGGAAAGTAAGTAGAATAGATAGGAAGCTCCAATAAAAGATATTTTGTTGTTAAAAGGGATTATATATTTCCAACTTATGATGATGATGATTATTATTATATAGTTAGCTATTGAATACCTGAAGAAAATAAATGAAACAAAATAATATGAATTAATCATTTAGAAATTAATGATTTTATATGAATATGAATAGAACCGATAGATGAACTAAACAAATGTACACATTCAGAATGAGATAGTTCATGTATTTCTGTGTTGGTTATCTGAATCATCTCATTGATATATTCAAACGTTATCGCGTTATTCACTTAGCTATTGAGTCCAGATAGACACTAACATGAGAAGATTCAAATAATCAATGCAAAAATGAATTAAGCTTCACCCTATTGAACAAGATGATGGCTATCTGGACTCAGTAGCTAAGTGGACAATGTGATGATGGCGTTTGAAGCGAATCGTACCGGGTTCAAATTTCGGAATGAACATAAACTCTGGAATGCTGGTACATTCAGCCGACAAATCATGAATAGGATGAAAAGCACGTTCTGGATTCCACTGCTAGCCACCATCATTTCCGCTTATAATGAAACAGTTCATGTTAGTAAAAAAAGAGGAGAATGATATGATGAAGAACACAAAAGTGTAAATAATACTGAATAATTGAAAAAATAGTCAAATAGAAGTAGCTGTTGAATTGTTGCAAATTAAATTATTATAATAATATGTAATAACCAAAGTATTAAATACTTCTATTATGAAAATAAGAATAACCGAAATATAAATGAACGAATAGTGTTTTTAATCAGATCGTCATCAAATTTCAGTTTAGAATATACATGAATATTTATATGGATAGATGAAAATATTAAAGCAATCAAGGTAATTTATCAGTGAATAATCACAATCATATAGACTGTATAACTACACACAATAGATCAAAAGTACAAATTGGTACTAATAATACAGGTGTACTATTAGTAGCCAATAAGTATGACAAAATAGTAAAAGTTCTAGTCAGTCAGTATTTCAGCAATGAAAGTAGTAGGTCTAACTTCAATAAATATATTTAAATGATCACAACCCATTACTAAAATTATGTGATGAGAAGTGAAGAATATAAACGAAATGTGACAAGCAAGTAAAAAAAATACGATAAAACTATCCAGTAAGCCACGTACGGGTAAGGGAAGGACACGGTTGTAGCAAATTTCTTTTGGATACATAAACTAAGGTTATAGGTTCGTTTTCTTGTAGCTTACACTATATGTAGGAGAAGGGACTGATCTTCATTAAGATATGAAACATTGGTCAGAACTTTTGTTATCCCATTATATTTATCACTACTACTAGTACACCTGTCTTATGATTATCAATTTGTACTTTTGATCTACTGTGTGTAGTTAATTATACTGTTAGACCAACAGAATTTTACTTGTAGTTGTTATTATAATAAATGGTTATATTAAGAATCAACATTGTATATTGATTAGTATAGCCTCTGCTATGTCATCCAGATAATCTTTTCAAATGATTTATCCTATAGATAGGATAATTAGTGATAACTGTTGAATACAACTTGTTATTTTAGTGATGGATTAGTTGAAAAATTAGATAGAGTTGTATTTTTTGTTACACAACAATTCTTTGCAGTCAAAGGTCAACTGTACCCTTTAAATATATCTAGAGTTTACTGAAGTGAACGAATCGGTTTTGATGGTAATACGTACCCACTTGATTATATTATAGAAAAAGAAAATATACGTCAATTTATCTTTCACATTCAATTAGCGCCATGTGATTTATTGATTCAGCGAACAAGCTGAAGTTAAACCTGAAACATACCTTTCAGTAGACCGTAATAACTAAACAGAATAGATCATTTTACGATTTAAAAAAATCCATGTAGTGTCCTGTTCATCCTTCAATGTTGAATTCAATTTAGTCGATTAAAAGAATACAATTTTATCTAATTACCACTATGAAGTGTGATATTGTAACAGAAAGTCAATTGGAATAAATTGACTGAAGTCCCGAAAACCTTCATTTATTACAAAAACATTCATCGCCAGATTTACAAAATGCTCTTTCATGGTACTGGTGAAATTCTGACTGCTATATGTGTAACTTTTGAACAAATAAATGTAGTGAATGTTAGTCAGATTCCAAATCACATTAATGGCAATAAAGTTTTCAGTAAAGTTTCATTCTCTGAGTTGAATTGTTTAGTCATGATGATATCATTGTTCTTCCGCACAATATCATCAGAACAAACTTCAGATAGAAATAGGGTATTTGAAAGGCCGATGATTAAACCAACTGATTTCAAGAATGAAACTTCATCCAAAAACAAAAATCTCCCGCTCGATAGTGTAGGCCTTTCTGTAATCAGAATTTCGAAGATACATCAGATGATTTAATATTTCGCCTACTTTAAAGTTGATAAACTTTAATGTACTAGAGAGTTATTCGCAATAAAATGTGTATTACGAATATTCACATTATGTTTGATTAGTTTAGTGTTTTATAACATATATGTTGTATCATTATTTTGTATGCGCTTTAATTCATGGAATTTCAACTGAATATATCATAAATGATCATCATCTATGAGTGGATTCCAAAAATGTTTAAAGTATATTATACACTAACTGATATTTATATGCCTACGTGAAAAAGATACAACTAATCAATGTAAATTGTAAAACAATAACAATTATATCATATCAATTACACAACAAGTTATAATGAATTTTGTTTTAGATAATGTAATTTAATAAACCTGTTCAATCGTATTTATAGTTGTTTTGATATATGGTAGAAATGTGCTGGGTTAGTAACAAAGGTACCCAAAATTAGTTTAAAAAAGGCCTAAGAGTTGAGTAACAGTTAAAGGGAGAGGATATGAAGACCACTTATATAAGGAACAAAAAGTTATAAAAAAGATGAACACATATCAAAAGCAATTTAAGAGATTGTTAGGACCACGGTTAAAGAAGTGATCGAATGCATCACTTCTGAACAAAAGGATCAAACTTAAATTGATAGACTGTAAAATCCTCCGTTATGAGTGAATACTCTGATGGACATGAACGACTGTTATTAACCGGATGTTCAACAACAGAACAACTGATAACTACGTTTTTTTAAAATCATTATTACTATGTAGCTTTAGTAAAAGATATCATTGAACAGAATATTTTCTTCACTGGACTGTTTTTATTTTGCTCAATGACGTAATCGGTATCTTCTGTTGTTATAATAAATTAGAAGTAAAAGATAATTGATAGTATCACCATAAGCGTATAACAAATAGCATGATAAGGTAATCAATTATTTTGCCTTTCAAACTAGGTCAATACATGTGAGAGAAATAAGTGTACTGAAATTAAAATGTTATGGAATTTTAAGCAAAAATGGGAAGTGCGTAGATAGTTAATTTGAATGTACACAATAAATTACCGAATAAATGGTGGGTAAATTATTGAATTCCACAGTGGATGTGTACTACTGAGGCAACCCATAGTAGGACGACGAAACGAACGTTTAGTGCTTCCAAGTTTTCAATGTTGGTCTAACTATGATTAGTTCGTGATTTAAGAAAATGGACTATTATGTGACACAGCGCTTAAGATTATGAGAAATACTAATAGTTTAGCAATAATATTCTGAAATAGAGTGACTGTAAGAACTAAGAGAAAAATGAATGCATACAATTACTCGCTAATTTACAATGTAGATATCATAAAACAAAATGTACACAGAATAAGATTGAGCAAGAACTAGCAATGATAGAAAGTGTTAACTAGTATGGATTGGTAGCTCTAACTGATATATGGTTTGTATTTGAATGGATATTTTAGTGACTACCCAAAGATTAACAGTTGCATTTCAAATAGTCGGTTAATATTGATGAGAAAAAGAACATATTGTTAATTAAGATGATGAACATGGGAGCATTAAAACTTGACAGAATTACTGCCGTTAATTCTGGGATAAGTAGATCTTGAGACCAACAAATCTACACTAACAATATATATATAGTATGTAGGCAGAAAATGTAATGAACTCATGGATATTATTCTAAACCAAACAAAGTGCTGGAAGAATCTTGAATTCCATTGCGGAAGTGTTATACATTAACAAGAACGATTAACGTATTTAGGTTTCTTAAGTTACAATACAATCTATAGAAACTTAAATAGACCGAGCGTCTGTCACACAACAACATTTTAAAGTTGGTAATCCGCACGCTAATAGAGATACTTACTTACTTACTATTGTTACCCCTCGTAGTGGAGCATAGAAGATAGGATAACTTTATGTCCTGTACGGAAGTCAAAAAACTAAAAAAGTAACAATTCCTTTCACATAGTAGCATGCAATAACTTAAAGGCGTATAAGAAAGCTAGTAAACCAAAAGTGCTAACAACCAATCAAACCAAAACATTGATAGAACGGAAAGAATAGTTTACATTTAATTCCATAATGTTTACATCGTCACAAAGAATACATGTATTATACAACAGTTCAATTAATTGTAGGCTAAATGCTAATGAATCGAATCGATAAAAATGAATATAAGTATGATCAATTAAGCATAAAAAATTATGACCGATAAAAACACAAGAAATCAATTGAATTTGAATTACTACCATTCACTTCGAATCATTTTGATTGAAGTTTCTAAAATTGTCTTCTTTTCCCAACTTTAGCTTGAAGTAATTAAAAATAAATTCATTGATCTTCTTGGTTCTATTTAATTGAAATAAACAGTGATAAATAATGCCGACTACTTTCAACTACTTAAAATCTTGATATTTAGTTATTTAAAATAGAGGAGATATTGCAACTTTGTTAGTAGAATTCAGTCAGTATTAGTAAAAAGAGATACCGAATATATATGCGCCACACAATAACAATAAGAATGTGGAAGAATAGAGATTGTAAAGTGCATATAAGAAAAAGAAGAACAATAACGAATAGAAATTAGTGTATGAGAGTGAAATAATAATAATAATGACAGAAACATTTGAGTTAGCCAAAATACAACCAGAAAGAATTCTTTCAGTTAAAGAAGTTACGTTCATTTATTTATGAAGTAAAAGGAAGTGGAAGTAG